CAATGAGAACAGTCAATCATTGGAATAATCTCCCCAGGGAAGTGGTTGACTCCGCTACGCTGAACACATTTAAGACTCAGCTGGACATGGTGCTGGGCCATCTCGTCTAGATTGTGCTAGAAAGGTTGGACCAGATGATCCTCGAGGTCCCTTCCAACCTGGTGTTCTATGATTCTAGAAAATGATGATTCTCTCAATCAGAATTAGCAGCCAACTAACTAATTCTAAACTGCCTCTTCATATGGGGAATTTTACATAAAAATTAAGACTATCAAAAACACTTCTCTCCATTGAGCTTTATTTTTTCCAGGAATTTTAATTGTAAGTGTTTTTAACCTTTAACACATTCAAGCAGAATCTCTCATCTCAGGCAGAATCCAGGGATATTAGAGAATTAAGGTTCATTAGATTCTAATTTAGCACACAGGATCCATGTGATGAATTTATAGAGCATGGTGGTTTAGGACATCTTAAATATTAAAATAAAGACAGAAAATGCACATCATATCTGAAGATGCCAGATCTATAAAGCATTTTGTACAACTAGTACGATGCAAAATGCTACAAATACTACAATACAAATACCTGGGCTATCACTAACAAGATCTTGTTATTACTGAAAGAAATGGCAAGACAACGGCTGCAGACAGATTACAACCACCATTTTCTGCACAGATTTTAATAGGGCACTTCTGTTACATTCTTGCAATTCAAGGAAAAAAAAAATCACATTAACAAATGTTCTGTCATTGTACCTGTTGCCTCAAGCCATAAAATTTTGCTATTGGTTCTGAAGATCCCACTGCCTCTTCTACAGCATATAAGTGGATATCATCTTGAACACTTTGAGCTGGCCAGAACCCAACCACACCTCTGGCTTGTAATTTCTTTTGATTAATCAACATTTTCAGTAGATTTTGAGCATCATTATAAACTCTCTTTGCTTCTTCACCTATCAATAAAAAAAAAAGAAAAAGAAAAAAAAGAGAACCCTTTAGAAAAGGCATGTTTTCACAACTGGCTACATGGGTTTAAGAATTGCTGAAGATTGGTTCATTTTCCACATAATTCTCTGATGACTGCAGCAATCTGTCAGCTACAGCAAACAGAGATAGCAGTGTGATTATGTCTCTACAGTTGTAACAGCATATATGGGGGGGGGGGAGAGAAAACAACGTTTCAGCCAGCACCATTCTAGTAGAGGCAGAAGCTGCAGAGTAAGATGAGCAACAGAGAATACCTGCGTGCAGCTACGTTACCACACTGCAGCAGATCCAGAACACCGATTTCAGTGTCACCCTTGCAGTTTCATCATGTATTTCAAGGCCTACTGATTAGTTTCAAAAGGAGACAGGGCCCTCTTGCCATCTTCACTGACAACAGGGACACAGATCTATTAAGTGCTCTGCTGCCATTTTCTGTCATTAAAATACCTCCCTGTGTTTTGGCAGGTGAATTCTAAATAAGATGATTGAGCATTTTTCCCCCATTTGTTTTTCAGCCTCACATGCCAACACTTGGTTCACTAAGTGTTGCTTTAAACAAGTTATTTCAGTGACGCTAGGCTTCCACGTATTTTCACTATTTCAAAACATTGAGAATCTTAATGCAGCACAGCAGGTCTGTTAGGATTATTTACATGAAGTAAATGCAATTTCAATACTCACCTACAGTTTTATCATTAAAGACTTTAGGGAAACCCCGGTTGGGATACTTTCCCCTAAGCTGCCAGACATCAAAGAAAGGCTTCCAGTCAATGTATTCTACCAGCCTCTTCAGGTCATAATCTTCAAAGACTTTTGTGCCGATGAATTTCGGTTTAACTGTAGGAATCAGAAGTATAATCTGACACGATGAGAATAATTTAATATTGCCCATATATGTTGAACATAACTGATGCTCACAGCCTCCACCACTGCAAATGACCTCTTCCAGAGGAACTGTTTTAGAATTCTTACTGTCATAGTGTTCCCAGGTCATACCATACTCTAATTACAATGTGATTAAAAAAAAAAAAAGCATAAAAGGCATATAAAGTTGAAATAGAAAATTTAAGGCCTTTTGTTCTTTCATATAAATCAACACTTACTAGCTATTGGACTTCTGAACTTATATTTCATTGGCAAAAATATTGGCCAAAACAGAAGATTAAAAAACCCTACACAACTTATCAATACCTAACATATTTTTTTGGGCATATACCTTTCATGTTTACAAATCCCGCTTTCTAAACACAGTCATATTAGGTGCTATGGTACTGTAGAATAGTTCCATAAATTAATGTGTAATTTATAAGAACTTTTGCAACCACCACATACTTGTTCAGATGCATGTGCACAAGTGAAAAAAGCGAGATGATCTATCTTATGATGTAGCCACCAGCTTTCACTTGTTTTGTCTGTGCTGTTCAACACTTTATAATACAACCTTCATTAAGATGAGCTATTGAAAATTAGCATCTTGTTGAGTCTTGTAAATGAAATGACAGAAAGCAGTGAAGCGTTAATGTCACTGCAGGATGCAACTTCTTGTGGAATACTGTTTATACTTCTAGTCTCCAATTTAAAAAAAAAAAATCAAAACAAACTGGTACAGAAACTGATGGGGGAAGGGCAGGAAAAAGTACACAGAAGAATTTGATATAAATGCCATGTCACAACCTGTGTTCCCTAAATATGGTATAGTGAGCTTTGCAATATAATGAGTCAGTCCAACATTATTTTGCAAAGCAGGCATTAGACTTATATTTGATTATATGGTGTTATGGGTAACTCGTTGTTTTAGGATTTTTCTTCCAACTATTAATTTATTTTTTAAACATACTGTGAAAAATACAAAGCAGAAACAGGATGCTCAAATGTATGCAAAAAAACATCTCTGGTCAGACAGACACCGATTTACTGAAGCTGTTACACTACTATAACCTGAAGTTTAATGAAGCATAATCTAATTAAAAATGTATATAAAATACATAAAATAAAATAAAGGAAAGAGAAAAGGCACAGCAACAACAAACAACAACATTTAAACTGACCTGGTTTATGGCCTGATAACCAGTCATTATGGAAACCTTTTCTTCTAGCTTGCTGTAGAGGCAAGTATCTTCTTTCCTGTACAGACATAAGGGTTAATTTCACAAAGCCAGCCACGTCTCAGACAGATAAACTCTAACTGTTGACTTGGTGGTAGAGTTTTACTCAAAATGGTCTTTGGGACAAATCTGACAACAGACAACTTCAGTTCCAACAACTTGCAGTTCACAAGTGTAAAGTAAGATTACACCACAACCATACCATTATTTTTTCCTGTATACTTCTAATGAAACTGGCCTACAAGATTTCTAGTTCCTCTGAACTACACCAGAAGTTCCTTTATTACTTCAAATTACATGAAAATACAAGTACAGCAAGGTATTCTCCTACTGCCTGCAAAAAGCTTAGTATTACAGTGACACCACTACCAGTGACTGCAGCAGGCCTCTGGGCAAATTACTGACTCTTCTGAAAGGCACAGGAAATTTACAGCAACTTCAGTAAGGCCCATGAATTCACTGCTGACCTCTGCTTAAAGGAGAGTGCTGCACTGATCTCAGCTTAGCGGACTGGTTCCCTGTGCAAAGACAGTCTTAAACTTGGTCAAGCCAAATGTCCTCAGCAGGAGGCCTCAAGCTTTATCTTTCTTTATCAAGAGACCAGGCAAGAGCCAGATGACTTTGAGCTTCCTTCTGTGTTTATTTACAAAGACGGCCTCAGAGGAGTCATATGTTATTTGTTTCCTATTGTTAATTTGCACAGTCCATCTCCACATTTCATTGCTTCCTTCTCTTCACTTGCCTAAAACGGCAGCCTCAGCTCTCTACTGTGAGACTGCTCGGATCCCTAACCTAAACAATATGAACACATCAGGAAAGCACGGTGTTGTAGAATACTTAATAGAGTGTGGCTTAGTACCAGCAAAAGCAACCAGTGCCATTTTAGTTACCCCAGTGTAGGTCCCTGTTTCCAGCTACTGCTCCAGCAGAGCACTGGTCTCCTGTAGGTTGAGTTAAGCTGACATGTCTGCCAGCTCCATGGAGATGTCCTAGATACCACTGATTGCCCATTGAGGACAATCAAGAATTTGCCAAGCATGTGTTAGACTCATGCAGAATTTTCCCTTATAGGTTCGAGAATCTGATTTCATAAGTACTTCTGGAAGTTTTCCATCAATTCTACTGCATGTTTTAAATGAGCACAAATATACCTGAAGGTCTTCAGAAGGAGCTGAAACAGAGTTAGTAATGAGGCAAGTACTAACCACTCCAAACAAGAAAAGAAGCTAAAGCAATTACATTTGTACCTTGAGAGACTCATAGTGTTCTTGTCTAATTTCTTCATATTCCTCTAATATTTCTTCAAAGAAATCATCCTTTACACTTTCGTCTAAGAGCTGGGAGCACTGAAAAAAAAGTAAAGAGAAAGCACTAAGTACATACTGTAGCATACTATAGAAAGGACAGAGTATGAACTTAAGAGCATAAGCTGTCTGTCTTTCAAACTCTTGTTTCCAATTACGCTTGGCAACACTAAGCTAAGCCTTACAACTAATTTGCAGGCTAGGTTCAAAACATATTTAAGAATGTGATTATTACTGAGAGTACTGCTCCACAACACAGGTAATATTAGCAGAGCCAAGTCTGGCTCTGGAAAGACCCGAGAGAAGAATAGTCCAAGACTTCAGAGACTGAATAGTCACAGAAACACCACACAGCTTGGCCTACTTCTTTCCAGCAGGTATTGGCCAGCTATGACTACCCATTTGTCTGATAGAGAGAGCATCCATCCCAGAAAACCTCAGCCAGACATTTCATAGTACTAATGTTGCCGTTATCACTAACATCAGAAATATATCCAAAATAGAGAGACTAGCAGATCACATCTAACCCCAGCGCTCTTCACTATAAAACATCTCAAAACTACAGTCAAGGACTCAGAATTAGTGATGTCACCCTCACTAGAGAAATGGGTATTTAAATAAAAGTATCTAGTGACAACAATTGACACAAGTCAGATGAGACAACCACGTGGCAGCAAAAAAATAACAACTGAAGCAATAATAGTTTAGAAACTGATCTCTGTTGTGGATCTTCAATTTTCTGCCATAACATTGAGGCTTAGAGGAAAGGATGGGAGGCACAACAGAAAAACAGGGCATCTATTTTTGCATGGATGAGAAACTATAATTTAGAACTTACAACCACAACACTCTTGGATGCATCCAGGACATGAATTACAGGTGCGCTATATCGTGGGGCAATTTTAACAGCTGTGTGTGTTCTTAAATGGAAAAGAAAAAGAGTGAGCATTTCATTTCACAACTGGGAAAAAAAAAAAAAAAAAAAAAAAAACCAAAAACCCACACACCCACAAAAAAACACCCAGACAAAACCCCCAGCGAAATAAATCCTGACTTAATGCATAGACCAGAACTTCTGAAGAAGCAAGCAATTCATCCATCTGCTATGCATGGATGATTAAACACAGATTTTAATAATAGGTACATAAACACTTTTCCTCAAAGAGTATCAGAATGCTTCATAAATAATGTGCCAACTCACATTCCCTCACTGTCTTACCAGCTGAGTGAAAATCAGCAACTCATTAGTTTGAGTCTCAGAAAATTTCAGTGAGAATGTTCCAAACTGAGCCTACCAAAAACTAACAATATTTTTCTCAATCTTTTTTGCTCATCTTATATTTTTTCCATCCCACATGCTAGTTTCTGGGTCTGTGGATTAGCATTAACATAATTCAGTGATGATTATTCCACTTCTACGATGCTCTACTTCAAAACCAGAGGCACAAGTTCTCTACCCACCTGACAAAGGAATTCTGCCAGTGGTCAACAAATATTACAAACTTGCACCTGCTTGGTCAGTAAAGTCTTTCACATAAAAACCTCCCAATTCATCCGATTATTTAGCATTTACTCATATTCTAGTCCTCATGGAAATAGTTCAGCATATAATGAAGAATCACTCCTATATTATAGTATATTGATCAAATAGAAGTTTGGAGTCCTAAACTGAGCCCTAAGCTATCCCATGAAATGCACCTGGCTACCCCCATTGCTCAGAGTCCTGGCAAACTGTGCAGGAACGAAGCCCTTGCAGGCCAAAGCTCAGTTTGTTTTCTTGGACGCTAAGGTCAAACATAATTTTTTTAAATTAATTTAAATCAGAACCCAGGAAGTGATCTTCCACAGCAAAGATAAGATCTCCTTTTTCTTCAGGTTCTGTCAAATATTTAAAGCACTTGGCCATGGAGAGGTTACTGATGACTGTGCGACACAGTTGTGAAACCAACTGCACAGGATCTCCTTAATTTGCTTCTAGGCGATGCACTTTTGATCTTGGAGCTCTATCTTTTAGAAAAAGATATTGTACCTTCTAGTACATACTAATTTCTAGATTTTTTTTTTTTAAATAAACATTACCACAACAAAACTGTCACCATTATTTGGCAGCCTCTGAATTTACCAAAGCAGTATAGTAAGAATGCAAACATCATCATTATTGTAAGTTATGAAGAAACTCTATTATGTAGATTCTGTAGGCAAAATCCAGCCTCTCTCTCTTTCAAACTAACCTCACTTTCCACCCTTCCAAATACTTATGGTCTCCTTATTCCAAATAACGATGCCTCCTTATTCCAAGTAACGATGCCTCCTTATTACAGAGAAAAAGTGCTGATGGTTCTTCATTAGCAACCCCTGACATGTACGCAACCTTCCAGAATGCAGACATGAGGTTAAAACTTAAGACTACATATTACCAATCCAGTCTTCCATAAAGAATGTTTACTTGACGTATATTTTATACAAATTGTATGTGTCTGGGCATGTGGATAAGTATATATTTATATACAGTTCACATGAATAAAATTTTTATTTATGTATACAAAATTATGCATATATTCTTCAATAATTTCCATATTCAAGGATAAAACTAGTGCTGCCTTGCTGTTGGTTACATTCATCTCTGTGAATAAATTCTACAAAATTGTTTGATGCTGGTTATTTGACATCAATTACTAGGCCACAATGCCCTGCGTACAAACGCTAAGAAGATCTGAAGAAAGGGCTCTCCTAAAACCTCCACTTAGAATAAAGCCTTTCCCCCCACACACTTTCTTTTTCTAAGAAAAAAACCTCCAAGTTTGTTCTCAGTATCAAAGCCACAGGAAAAGAGACTCCTATGGAGGAAGAGAAAAAGGATACACTTAACCTTGCATTATAACTACAGGACCAATAAAGACAGGTAGTGATCCTACTCTTCACTGTCTGTCAAATTATGGGACAATTTGCTAAGGCCAAAAATACAGAATGCATTGAGTTAATGGTTCTGCTGGAATATGTGCTGCTCTGATAAAGAAAGCGACACTGCTAACAGCTTCTGGTTATGCAAGAAATGAACTCTGCAGTCTTCTGAGCTGTCATCTACTCAAGCATATTGTACATAAACCAGTTAGCAAAGCACGAGCCAAGGCCGTTACACGTGCATAAAACACATTTGTGGTAATGTTAATACTAGGTGTCAGTGGGCTGCCAACACTGGTCTTCAGGACATCATAGCAGCTGTATTATTCCACTTGAATGGATCTGAGAGAACAAGATCTCAGCAGAAAAGCTCAGTCTATCAAAACCAAAATGGTAACTACTTCAAGGCAAGCAACTAGAATTTATCCCCTATCAGCCTGCTTGAACACGACTGGGGTCTCAACCCAACGAGCACAGTGCTGAACAGCGACGCAGGAAAATACATTAACTTTCTTAAAGATAACAACTCCCTGATGTCAACACGACCATTTCTAGTCTCGAAATCCTGCATTTTCAGAATGCTTTGGTGAATCGAAACAGATCATTCAACCCCTAAGAAGAACAGAACTGTATTCATAAGCATATGTGCATGAACTTTTATAACACAATATACAATACAATATACACTTGCAAAATACATAACACTCGCAAAAATGAAATGTTTAAGACGTCCATTATTTGTTGTGTCCCAATTACATTTTACCTCTATATATTAGGACTTCTGATATAAGAAATAACATTCAGTCTTAAGTATATACCTACCAGTATGTGTGTTGGGGGAAAATGAGGGAAAGGGAAAAAGAAAGGGCTATAAGTTTTCTTTTTCCCTGCTTAAAACTATTTCCATACACATTCCCCATCTTCCCAACTGAGATATCTTACTTAGAAGTAGTTGCTCCTCCAATCAGCAAAGGAATCTTTATTGCCAATCTCTCCATTTCCTTGGCGACAAAAATCATTTCATCCAAAGAAGGGGTGATGAGACCAGATAGGCCAATTATATCTATTGCAAATTTACAAACACACATACGCAAAAGGTTTAGCAAATCCATTCTAGAAAGACACAAAAATTACAGAAAGCATTTCTTTCATACATCAGATAGCTTAACACATCAGATAGAAAATAGTGAGATAAAAAGCAGGGTAGTTGCTAGTCTAGAAGCGAGGTTTGACCTAATTAGAAAGTGAAAGCATTCCAAGAACAAAAAAGTGATTCCAAATCCCCAGTTTAGGATATTTCTCAGTCTTCACAGCTGCTGAACACCTACTCCTCTAGTTTCAGCAATAAATATACACACTTCTGATTAGCAAGCTTCAAACCTCAGAAGTGCAGCACTGAGGAGGGAAATAAGACAAAATAAATACAAGCTCTGCTCTTAGAAACAGCAAATGCTTTCGAACTTCACCACCAATGTTCCACACAATTCATCTTTTCCAAGACGCAATAGACTGTTGCAAAGCAACTGTAACTTGTTTCAGAAAGTTCATTATTTATTAGAACAATTCATTCCTGATTTCACACTCACTGATCTGGCAGGCTGAATGCCAAGTTCTTTTACAGATTTAAGACCCAACACAAAGTTATTTAATCTTCCGAAGTCTCCATTTATCCATCTGTAAAACAAATACTAAAACATCTCTCTTGGAGTTGTCCTTTTGATACAGGTTTTCCGTTCCTCGGGCTAGGTTTCAGGGAATTACTAAATAATTACTATTATTAACACAAAAGTTCTGATTTATCTGAAGATAGTCTGACCAAATCATAGACAGCATAGGAATGCAATGAGCAGCAATAAAAAAAATGCAAGTGGGGTTTAACATCAAACAATTCAAGAGTACTAATGAAATCTCTCTATACCTGCTTTGTTCTCAACAGCAGCTCTCAATATCTTATCACATGGAGTCATGACTCCTAAATCAATAACTCTGTGAAAAGAAGTGAGATGACATAAGATTTTTTTAAAAAAACAGGTCAAATTTCCACTAAAGAGCAAATACATTGTTCTTACTGTAAATGATTGACCTAAAATTGAAGTTAAAATTGAGATTTTTTATTTGTTTTTTTCTCTTAAGACCTCTATTGGGAATTTTAATATAGGAAGTACCTCTGGGTCTGGCAAAATTTTCAATACATCGGAGTTCCAGATGATACAGTAGACAAGAAAATTCAAGTGTAAGAGGCTTCTTTTTTTTTTTTTTTTAAAGAATTTTTTTGCGGATGTACTGAGTCTGGCTGAGAGGGAGTTAATTTTCTTCATAGCAGCTGGTATGGTGCTGTGTTTTAGATTTGTGACCAAAACAATGCTGGTAACACTAATGTTTTAACTACTGATGAACAGTGTTTGTCCAGCATCAAGGCCTTCTCTGTTTGTCACTCTAACCCCGCAGGGAATAGATTGGGGGGTGCACGAGATGTTGGGAGTAGACACAACCAGGCAGATGACCCAAACTAACCAAAGAGATATTCCACGGCATATGATGTCATACTCAGCAATAAAAAGGGAGAGGAAGGAGTTTAGCAGGGGTTAGCTGTCTTTTGCTCAGGAACTGGCTAGGCATCAGTCTACCCGTGGGAGGTGGTGAGTGATTGCCTTTGCCTCACTTTTTTTTGTTTTTTCTTTCTCTCTTCTTCCACTTCTCCTTCACTTATTGAACACTTTTTATCTCCACCCACAATTTTTCTTGCTTTTATTCTTCCTTTCCTCTTTCCGCATCCCACTGAGGTTGGCTGGGCAGAAGGGAGTGACTGGCTGCGTGGTGCTTAGCTGCCTACCTGGCTTAAGCAACAGCAGTGGCATTTCTGAAGTTATTTGGACAATACAAAAAGGTTTGTGGACATCATCTCTTATGTCAGGAACGTAAGATGATTCACATCAAGGGTATTTTTGTCTTATTAAAGCATACATTTTATGAAATGAGACACTGCACTTCCCTTGCTAGCATTTTATTCCTGTTAACCCTAGCCATTGCCAAGGTTTTTATTTTTTCCAAGTAAACCACCCCAGCCTGCTAGCTTCGTTCAGCCTCACTCATACTCATGGTGGCAGAAAACACTATGGCTTCAGTTCAGTACGTCTAAGTAAAGCTCAAAAAAGCCTGAAACCAAATCAACATAATTTCAAGAGATAATGAAATGGAATATACTGCATATACACAGCACTGCTACTGCCTTCAAATCTTTGCGTTTTAAAATAAAGAGATCGTTTTGGCTCTTTTTAGAGCAAATTATATCCCCAAGTCAAAAACAAAACTAAAGGAATGAACAGCAAGACAGAGTTCCAAAGCAGATTCAGCTTTGCACAACATTTGACAGACACTTGACAAAGGGCTCTGATGGAAACATGACCATTCATTCCAACACTGTTGCCAACCCTGCTGCATGCACACAGGCCTTGAAAGAGCTGACTTTTAAATTCTGTCTTTTGAATCTCAGAAACAGGATGAGAATCTCATCTGTTATTTAATAAAAACATACCCCAGTGAGTTTTTAAAACCTCACAGTTAACAAACAGGTTGAAAAACATACTAAAAGGTTCACTCGAATCTTACAAGACTTCCTTTTTCCCCAACACAACACACAACCCACACATAGTCTTGCCTACTACAATTGTCGTATCCGATTTCTTCGGACATTGTACTTACATGTTTAAGACATTATACTTATTATATTTAACTCATAGAAAACAAATACAAAGATTGATGCTCTCATCTACGTTTCAGTTGATGTTAAACTGTATTCACCTCAGATGCCAATTTATTAGGAAAAAAAAGTATTGAAGGAGGCAGCTACACTCCTTCATGCCTCCCCATTAGTAACAGCTGGGACGGTCTGTGTTCCCAACCACAACTTGGGAAACAGAGTACAGTTCCCAAGAAATGCTCACCTCTTATCACCACAGCTGCAGCTAGCCTAATATATTAATTAGCTAGCCTTACACAGTTGTGTTCCCAGCTACCTAATGTTAGACTCTTTACCTGAAGTTGTTGCAGCCCAGAACGACTCCCACAATGTTCTTGCCGATATCATGTACATCTCCTTTCACAGTTGCTAGTACTATTGTGCCATGATAAGGATCCTGAAAGTTGAACAAATAACACAAGAGTTAAATTACGCAGAAGCCTCAGTACGCTTGCACAGATCCTTCAACAGTGCAATCCTAATCCATGACCAAGACTCCTATTGTAGTACAAGCAATTGCAAAGTGTAGTAGAGGTAATAGAGTCAATATTAAAAACTATTTTAAAAGATCCAGGTAATAAAAACTTGCACAAGAATTATTCTTGCAAATTTTATATACGTTATTCAAAAATCTTTGTTAAAAAAACCCAAAATAGCAGATAAAAAATTTCAGATCTGAATAGCATTTCGTGCAGTGCGATAACTGAGCTCCTAAGGTACCTCTGCTCCAAATATAAACCTCACCAATAAAGAGTTTAAATAGATTAAATATTTAGAACAAAAGGGTATGAACACTTATAATTACACACCCGTTTGTGCATCAACAACAATCTTCCAATGCAATGCTGAGAAGACTGAGAGGAATTAGCAAAAGCAGAAGAGACTGATTTTTTATGCAACATGAATAGCAAGGGAGACATTTCAGTGCAGTGATCAGGCCACTTCAGACTACCCAAGCTGAACAAACAGGCTGGAAAAAGGATCTCCTTGAAGAAGGGAAGCTGTACTGTGGCAAACTGGTCCTAGGCTAGACGGCATTCAGCCCTGACAAAGGGGTCCTGCCAGCAGGGCAGGAGTGGAACTTCCTATAGCAGTTCTCCACCAGGACACAGACCTTTGCGACACATTTTTAGTTGTATAATCAGTGTTGTCATTTGGAGCAGCTCCAGGCTATCACAGTGCCATGTCTGAGTTGGTGCAGGATCAGATGCCAGTAACAGACTACTTAAATTGCACAGAATTTAACTAAAGTAGAAACCCGAGCATATTCTATGTGAAGCTACAAAATACTTTTCTGGCCAGTATCTCATCTCCTTTGCTGATGGCAGAACTGGAGGATTAGATCCTTCTATGAAGCATGTTATGTTTCTGGACAGTATCGAGTAGCTTTCTACTTCATGAACCTACACTGCCTTCTGTACTTGTAATTTTCTGGGGGAAAAAAAACTTTATACATTACCAAGAGCGATACTAGCATTTCCCATGCTCCTAACACATTTGTTGAATAAAATCCCTGGATCCCCACCAATGCCGCTGTTTACTAAAATCTATTCTCACCAGTGCTCCTGTTTTACAGAAGACTGGGAAACAAAGAAAGCAAAATGGAGGTCTGTAAGTCAGCCATCTCGGTACATCAATAAAAAAATTTGCAGCTGAAAATATACTGCTGGAACGTAAGAGAAAACTGGAAAAAGAGATTAATCAAGGACTGGGGGAAGAACAAGAAGTGCTGCCCACATGTATCATACCCAGTAACTACTGACTATTTAACTAGTGATTGATATCCAAGAAAAAAAAAAAATTGGATTTGCACATAAGAAGGAAAATCTGTGCTAAGCGGCAAACAACATGGGCAAGAGCACACACTATTTTAAATAAGCCCTATTTAGGGCACACTGTGATTTCAATTGTCTCAAGCAAGGAGGTCCTCAAGTTCTGGGCACACATCCAAAGGGCTTCTTTTTTTTAAATCTTGATAGAGATCCACAGCCACAGCTATTTGTCCTCAAACGTAACTATCAACGCTTTGCATTTCCTGGCAGTCTGTGACTAAAACTGTCCTGGAGGTTACAGTAGCCTGGGTAACATCAGACAGATCAGCTACCAGAGTCTGCAAATCATTTTCCTTCAAGTCAACATCTAACTTCTGAGACAGACGAAGCTGTTTTTTCCTCTCACCAATTCTCTATACAGTGACAACATTTTTTTGAAGAGGAAGGCAATCCATCCCTTGCCCAGCAGAAGGCAGAGGAAGCAGGAGGACAGAAGCCCTACTTTTTCCCTCCTGCTCGCCTCAGCCACACAGAAATCTCACAGTCTCTTCAGAGTGCTTGCTGTATTTCTAAGAATGTCTCAAATTCACTTAACACTCTGCCTACAAAGAAGTGAAGTGCCAGAGGGTTCACAGTAGGTCCTAATCCAGTGCTCATGGAAGCAGTGGGGTAATGATTTTCACTGACTTCAAATAGCATCAGAACAAACCAGAAGGTGCCAAATACCGGCATTGTCATCTGAATTAAAATCAAAGAGAACAGCATGAGCAGGAGAGAGATGACACATAGAAAGGTGACTCATGACAGCCAGAGAACAGATCTGCTTGAGATACTGGAGAGAAGACACCTTCTTCACATCCAGAAAGAGCACAGGAAAAGAAACTAGGCATTTTCCTTCTTCCATTCAGATTAGTCAGGTTTGACTACCAGGTCATTTTTCTTTCTAAATTACTTGCTGTATTCACTACATTTCTGCTGGGCAATCACACAACAGGTCCACAGCAAATGGAAAGATACAGCGTAAGATTTCAAGGGAAGAATTAAGAACCATTCAAAAATCCATAGAAGGGAAAGCAAAGGAAATACATAAATATCACAGTTTACAGAAATTCTGCTGTTCTTCCTTTTTTTTTTTTCTTTTCTTTTTTTGGTGTTAAATACCAGATTCTTATAATAGCTATTGTCTCTGAGAGCTCATGAAGACAAGGTAAGGTTCCACATGACTAAAGAAAAGTAAATACACATCAAACCTAAATTTGATAGTCAAAGACAAGAGAAGAAGAAAAATATTTAACAACCAAAACTGTAAGCACCTATCACATTATAAATATAGTAGAAAACAGCAGACGTAAGTACGTGAAAGGGGATTTTGTCCAATTCATCTGAACTCTCTTTTCAACTGAATAGAATTTTGTCAGTATGGAGAAATAAGGGACATCGTATATCTTAGTGCTCCTATCACATATTCCATTAACCAAATTTGGAAGAAATTACTTCAAGCATATGCACAGGTAGTTGATAAAACTATTCTCAGGCATCACGCGCTGTTGGCTGTGAAACGGGAAATGCTACAAAGGAAAGGCCCACAAGGCTCTGAAAATCATTGGGGATTTTCAATTATATGTATTTTATATATTACATAAAAAGTAGTCTTCAAAAACTGGTGGAAAAACACACATATGAAAAGACAACTATATCAGACCCTGTTTTCAGACACACTTGTCTCCTGCAACTTGGTTATGGCTACACACACAATGAGCATACTATTCTATCATAACAAGAGGTCTTGAAGTCACAATCTATGAAGAAAAAGGATGGAAAAGTTTGGTTTGGTTTGTTTAGCTGGGAGAATGGTCAGGGCTAGGGGGAAGCGAAGAGTTGAATGAAGAGAAACATGGTAACAGGCTTTGAACATGCAAAAGGGAGTTCCATAGTTCACTGAGGGCAGAAGTAGTAGAAGCAAAACCAGCAAAATTTGCCATAAAGTTACAAGTACCATAAATAAATAATACTAGAATTAAATGCCTACAAAAATACAAGAAATACGTAACACTGGTATAAAGGGCCTACAAAGGCTTATGGCATCCTTCAGGAAACTTGTGACAACAGCTCAGGCACATACCAAGCAGAGCTCCACAAAATCTGCACTTTATGAATTTCAGACCTACTTCAAATTATGCCAAAATTGTCAGTTTCCACAAGACTGCATCAACTCTCCAGCATGAAAGCTGAATAAATGTCATTAGCAAAAAATAATTTCCATTTTTGTCAGGGCATGCTATGAAAGAGTTACAGCACAAAGGACTGTGTCTTGCCTCTTCCTCTATGCTGCCCTGTTTGGCTCTCCTTTCCTCTCTTTCTTTTTCCATGTAGGGAATAAGGTGGCCAACTGCTTTCTTCATAACTCGAGCAGACTTTATCACCTGCATAGATAAACAGGGGGGGGCAGGGAAACAAACAATAAAGATCAGGTATAGGAATAGCCTCAGATTTCTCATAGCTTTCTTTTATACCCATTCAAACAATAAACAACTTCATTTGCAAACCCAGATTCCAGCTTTGCAGAGTATTCTGTGGTAGCAGGCTGCTGGCCCTACTGGACTAAGGGTCTACAGATGACACTTGCTTTCACAGAGCAACCTCTCGGACCACTCACAACAGAACTCGAAGCCACCAACAGGCCCAGACTTGGAAGGTGCTAAACACAGCAATTTTTATTTGCATCTTTTTTCTCTCTTGCTCTTTTTCACAGGCCCAAACTTAAAACTGCATTTCAAATAAAGCAAAAACACTCAGGAAGGAAGGAAACAAACATGTAAAATTCAGTAAAGAAAGTCAAGTTCCAAAGTAAAGAAAAAAATAGGGCTGCTTCTTAGTAGCACCTGCATCTTCACAATTCACGTGCTATATCTGAAAAAAAATAGCCAGCATAGAATGTTTTCGCTACAGTTTACAATGCTAGGTTTTGAAAAATAGGAAAATACGTGAAATCATTTTCTCATTACCTGAGGCAGAAACATCTTTCCAGCACCAAAAAGATCACCAACGATTTTCATGCCATTCATCAAAGGCCCTTCAATTACATTTAGAGGTCTAGGATATTTTTGCTGATTTAATCTTGCTTCTTCTGTATCTGCAGTGACATACTTCTCAATGCCCTGGGGAAAAAAAAAAAAAAAAAAAAAAAAAAGAAGCTTTTATCTTGCTAGAAATACAGCTTTTATTTTGTTGCCTTCTCCCCCCAAAAAATCACGATGAAAGTACAACCAGATACTTTAGATACTGCTAGTCTTTAAGAATACCTCAAATGTGTATTTAAAACAGGTTTTTTTAGGAAACAAAACACTGTACTTCTTAGGCATATAAAGTTATTAAAAGCAAGAGTCTCCAGTATTAACAGGTTTGGTTGGTTTTTTTTTTAACCATGTCATAAGAAAAAACAAACATTCAAAGATTGCTTCCTCAGCACAAGTGCCACTCAGTGCGATACCGTTAAAGGACCAAAAAAACCCCTAGAAAGTAAAAGCAATATGTTAGAAAGTAAAAGCAGTATGTTACTAGCAATACTAGCGGAATAAAATATTAAGGGCCAAAAGACTTCAAATTGTAAAGTTTGAAGACAAATCACCACAATTTTCTCTGTTATTAAAGATATTAATTAAATACCTTATTCATTATTAATTAATAGCTTTTAAAAGAATGACAGTTGAAGAACTTTTAAAGCCAAAGGTATCCCTTAAAGTCTGAGCTGAGATCATGTCTCAGACCTGATGGGTAGGACAATTTTCTGCACAGATTCACCTTTGTGAGAGCATATTCCAGCCTTTCCTCCACAGAGCTTTTCCGCCACTCATCGGTCTGTACAACTTTTCTTCCTCCTTGGGCATGATTCTGAAGAGGAAAGACATCCATAGGAGCTTGCAAGCATAAAAAGTACAACTACAGACTTTACTTTTCTAAAAGTGAGGACAATTTCAAGTACTGACAGATAAAATAATTTTAGATTATTCAAAAGACTTTTTATATACATGCAAATCATATTGCAAACACCTGTGATGTACTACAGACACTTAGGGAGTCTACGTCCCGCAGAGCATATACCTCAGTGAAGATGTAAAAATCCCAAAGAAAAAAAAAAAAACAAAAAACCAAAACCACAACACAAAGCAAAGAGGGAGCAGTTTAATAATTTTCGTGCTCTTAAAAATGATGAAATGACTAATCCTAAGGGTTTTACTTCTGGGAACATAATTTAAATTGATTCCTGGCCCACACACTAAACTTCATTTTAAAATTCTAATTAATTTGGCACTAATTCAGTTTCTGCTGGAATAGGTTATGTTATTCTGTATCACAGATGTTTTCAATCAGGCAGCCTACAGAACTACTGTTTCTCATGCACACAGACCATCCCAAGCCCTCGCATACTCTCTGCCTCACACTCACACTCCCCTTTGCTATGAATGCAAAGGCCAAAAGGGCTTCACAGTGCAAGAAAGCTCATAAGCACCCACCCCAGGAAGGCTCGTGGAAGAGCATGCTATCCATTACTTGAACCACCACACTTCAGCCAAGTCATTTCTTTTCCTCTGTTGGCTATTCTATTAATCTGACATCTTTCAGTCCTTATGAACCTTCTATACTTTTGAGTGCTCATCAGCAAGTTTTTAAAGATAGAGCCATGGGAAAAGTCAGGGAAACAAGACCTCACTTATGAGAACAGAAACCAGAACAAGTTTTCATTCATGTTTATATGAATGTTAGCTAACTCCACAGCTTCTCGTTGCCAAACCTTATTCCTCTCATAGGTCTAGTTTGTACAGAGAGAATGAAAGAAGGAGGACAATGTTGCCCAGAGAGGTTGTAGTCTTCATCCTTAGTTACATTAAAAACCCAGCTGGACACGGCGCTGAGCAACCTGCTCTTTCTGACCCTGCTCTGAGCAGCGGGGTTGTACTAGATGATCTCCAGAGGTTCCTTCCCACCTCAGCCCTTCTGTGATTGAATGAGAAGGTATGAAGTGCTCCTCAACCTCTGGCCAGACACTTTAGCAAGGGAACCATTCCAACCTAAAAATAACCCATGAAACTGTAGGGTGGGCACGCAGAGACCACAGCAGCAAACACTACATGCAGATCTTTAAAAACAGAGTGATCATACTGCATCCTGAGGATGAAAAAGCCCGCCTTTGGAAGCACAACTCCCATTGCCACAAATAGGAAAAGTTTCAGTTTGAGAATGTCGGTAGCTATACGCTTTATGGAAAACGTTTTTTTAACCTCAAACTTCAAATGAAGGCTGATGTCCTAAATCTGCAAGGATTAAGTTCCTCATTTTTTCCCCACAGGTCTAGCAGTCAAACAACTGGCAAGGGAGGAAACTTCACTGGCACTCTATTAGAGGTGTGACACTTGCAATGGGACCGTACGTTCTATGTTCCTTGTGCAGAATAAACTACAGTAACTGGAAATAAAAAGAACATATGCACTTACTGACTAATGAATACACTCTTGTGTTTAAAAAAAAGCCATTAGACAAAACAACTTAGAGCCATTCAATTCCACTATATCAGAGAAAGGTCTGAATAAATATTTTGAAGTAAGCCTCAAACTCCAACACCTGTAATAATCCTTCTCATTGGCTGTAAGCGACTGTCTATTTGGACTCTCACATTTGTCCAGGGCCAAGAGGAAACCCAAATCAGGATGCTCACCTGTAGTGAAAACCTGAAAGTTGAATATTTTATGTTATATTTTAACAGAGCTTTTAAAGATGTTTTGAATCAAGACTGTCTCTCTTTTTTGCAACTGGGGGCTGCTTTACTCCCACAATAAAACTATCACCATGAATAAGAGCAGAGATTCCAACCATGGCTTCCCAAACTTCTAGACCTAGAAGGAGTCGTCATCCACTTCCATTTCTACTTTTCACGCTCCATTTAAACTCACATTCTACCTTTTGCAGAAACACTGCTTAAGCAATCCCTTTCTAATTCCCCCCCCCTTTTTTTTTTTCCCCTTCTTCTTTATGCAACCCTGAATACCCTAATGGTAAAACTTTGCTTATGCAGACAAGATGACTCCCAGGTGAATTGCTTAGACACTACAAGCACCATCTAAAATAGCCTAAGCACAAGGCATAGGGAGAGTCCTCCTGTACTGGTTTTCAACATGTTGCCATTGTTCCTAAAAAGCATGCACCACCACAGGGCAAACTACAAACCAAATGAAGCTGTGCACAGAAATAATACCTCCAGGAGCTACAAAATGGTCACGCAAACCTTCTTGTGTGCTTAAATCTAAGAGCCACCTAACCCAGACAGATTTTTGCTGTATGTTCTGTTCAGAACAGGATTTCACCAGTCATCTTATGGCTGATAATCTGGAAACCTTCAGGTGTGTAATCTTTGTCTTTTATCACCACTGTCATTACAGCATCTTAAAAACACTAAATAGCTGATCCTCACTCTTCACATGAGTTACATGAACTGGAAGTCTATGGCACAGCCAGGAACCGCAAGCAACTACTTCACCTTTTACATATATTCCAAGCAAACCATTACCACCAGAGAGACAGGTTTACTCTTTGTCTCCCACAGGGCACTTGTCAATTAAGCTCCAGCACCAAGATGTGCTTTGGTTGTGGGTTGGCTTTTTCTGGTGGTTGTTTGGTTTTTGTTTGTGAGGTTTGGTGGTGGGTTTTTTTTGTTGTTGGGGGGGGTGGGGAGTTTGGTTAGGATTTTTTGCTTCTTAGTGCTTTGGGTTTGGTTTTTTTTCTTTAAAAGAATGCCTATGCAGCTTGGTCTCCTGAAGCATATGAAGAACTCTGGTGCAGGATCTTTCAAGGCACCTATGAAATTGGAGAGGCTCAATCTATCACAGAGGTCATATTTTATTCTACATTAATAACTGAACCACTTGTAGTATCATTAGTAACTTCTAACGCCCACTGTTAGATTGACATGAGCAGTTTATATGCTGTTCTACCTCTCATCAGCAGGGAAGTGTTAAAGCCCAGGTGCTAACCTAACTACTATTCAAAGCCTAAAATTGGAACTTACTTGAGCATAATGTAAAAGTTTCTCTGTCGCATCAGGATCTTTGTTCCAGATTAGATTCTCACACAGCTGTAGCAATTCCTTCTGGATATCATCATACACTGGCAGATTCCCAGCATTCACAATTCCCATGTCCATGCCATACTGAAAAAAATCATACAGAATCCCCCAGCCAGGGCTGTCAGACATAGCACTGCACATTTGCCAAGTGCAAACATATGGAAGCCAAAAGCACATCATACCTTAATTGCGTGGTAAAGGAACACCCCATGCATTGCTTCTCGAATAGCATCCATTCCTCGAAAGGAGAAAGACAGATTGGAAAGACCTCCACTTATCCTGGCTCCCGGCAGTGTTTCCTATAGGAATTGCACACAGATTTTGAGAAGTGCTTTCCAAAAAGGAAACCTAAGCAAAGCATTCAGTCCATAAAACGGTTATCCCCTGAGCTGTGGTGCATTAGCTATGCACCCTTTCTCTCTTCCCTGTTCCAGATCCTTCTAGTTACTGAAATTCATAAAAAGCAATTCAAATCTCTGTAGAAAAAGATACAAGTAAAAGGAAAGAGCCAGCCTAGTTATGTGTAAGCAACTACCACGGTTTCCATAGTCATAGGTGCTATTCTGAACGTATCAGTCCTCCCACAGCAGCATTCCAGATTTTCCCCATGCAGACCTACTTATGGCTCTTCCATCCCCCACTCCTCTGGAAACAGGAGCAGCCAACCTGCCTGCCTGCCTGAGGAGGAGGCTGTAGCTGAGCAGCTAACCTCACGGGTGCACCCTCCCTTCCAGAAGCCCTGTGGTGACAAAAGAGCCTGTGGGGTGTTCAAGCCCCAGACTGCTACTGACAGAGCACCTCGAGACCAATCAAGTTGCCTTGTGAAACACAACAGTGCAGCTGCCTTGGCTGTATTCAGGTGATGCTCTTCACTGCTGTACTTCCTTACACACACTTTGGCTAAAGAAAAAGTCAGCTCACTGCATAAATTCCTTCCACAGTAGAGGAAATTTTATTCATTTTAAGAAGCAGCTTTCACATACCTTCAAAGAGGTCCTTTTAGCTAGAACATGAATGTGATTGTTACCTCATTTAATTAATGTAGTATATATACAGTAGAGATAATGGATTGAAATATATTTATAGAACTATTTGAAGTTCTACTTGAAATACAGCAATATTGGGGAATGGCTGCACTTCAGAGGAAGAGTCCCCCTTGCTAATTTAAAATGGGTATCATTTTGCAGCAGTGTTTTGTTGTTGTTGTTGTTGTTGTTTGGGAGCGGGGAGTGTGTTTCTGGTTTGCGGTGGTTTGGGTTTTTAAGTAATCTCAGCAAAATACTGCAAGTTAAAATAAGCTTACAACTCACTTTTATGGTTTTAGTAGCATTGATAAAATTAATGGCATACAGGTTATGTTCTTCCATTCCAGTTCCTATGGTCAAAATATTAGGATCAAATATTATATCATTTGGATTGAAGTGCACTTTTTCCACAAGGAGGTGATAAGCTCTGGAACAGATTGCAATCTTGGTTTCTGTTTCTGTTGCCTAGGGGAGAAAAAGAATTCTGACATGAAAAACTTATAAACAACACAAAAAATAAACCCTCCAGAAATCATTTACAGTTCCAGTGACTCAAGACTGAGAATCTGAACATCACAAATACTGGAAAAGGATTATATATATAAGAATTTTGGATTAAAAATATCACCACACCTGGACCTGGAGTTTTGACTCAACTCATTAAAAACAATTTTGTTCCCCAACATTTCATCATCCTGTGCAAAGTTTAATATGTGGTTTTTGACATGTTAATTCACAAAGATTCCACTCTCATGCAAAACTCAGTTTCTGAACTAAAAGAATCTTCTATGAAGGAAGGAAGAGTCCAGCATGGCTGAACAGCAAGAGACACGCTCTTGTGCTAGCAAAGCTACACTTAGAGCAGTACTTGGATTCCTCAAACACGTGAGCGCCGTAAGAAATGCTTACGTATCAGAGTCAAAACTATTGCTAAGACTATGTAGACCTCTTTGAATCACCTATGTCAATGAAACAGAACAACTTCATCTTGCACAAGAGTGAAAGCCTTGCACTCCAGAAGAAAAATAGCTCTCCTTTAAAGTGACACTCACCTGCCCCATTTCATCAAAAGCCATGACAACTACAGCTGCTCCATACAACTTAATTTTCCTTGCTTTCTCCAAAAAGTCTTCCTCACCTTCCTTCAGACTGATGCTGTTTACAATGCATTTCCCTTGGCAACATTTCAAACCTGCTTCAATCACTGAAAAATTTGAGGAGTCAATGCATAACGGCACCTGTAAATAACAGAAGTAAGCCAGGGGAATACATACAAGTCATGAATTAGAGTTCCACATGCTGTTTGCCCATTTGGGCATAGAAATGCACATGACATTAATCGGCATTTATGAATAAAAAGTTTCCAGATGGTATTTGTAGATTTTTCTTTGCTTTACATGCAAAATTCAGAGCAAATTTAACTCAAGAGCTTCTACGGCAACTCCATCACATATCATATAGTGACCTCTATTTCTCCCTGTATTGTCTTGTATTTCTGAATTAGATACTCACTTTTAGAGAACGCACTTTGCAAAGGTATCTTTTAAAACCATCCTATGTCCATACCAGTTTTAAGTTTTGTGGAAAGCAATACCGTTATGCACTGCCAATATATACATTATGGCTATAACTGCTGCAAAAGGAACCTGCATTCGGCTTTTCTAACCAATGAAAAGGACTAGCATATATTTAGCTGAAAACAGATAGAGAATGTTAAAACCTTTGTTTCCCCCAAAGGCCTTCCCTTTTACAGTACCTTTTCCTCTTGGGGGACACCTACACCTGCTTATTAAGCACCTAAACTGGTTACTAAATAAATCAATATCAAAATTTTCTGAAAGGCCACTTCCAACTCAATAAAATGCTCTTTATTGTGCTTTGGAGTGACTCAATTACAACCTTTGCAATATCAGGTTCTGAAGAAATCAAGTTACAAAATCTGGTCATTGCAGCAGGGCCATCCAGCATCCCATCATCCATATTGATGTCAAGAACCTGGGCCCCCATCTCAACTTGCAATTTGGCTACACTCAGGGCTTCCTAAAGGAGAAAGTAAAAAAACCAAAACAACAGTCAGTAGAAAAAAGCCTAGTCATTCTCAGGATAACATTTCACTTCTCCAAAATAAGCATGCAGCCAAAAACTTAAAAATTTATAAGACCTTCCATAAGAGAGTAAGGAAATAGTCTGTGATGCACATCAACATACAACAGTTGTCAGTATGCCACAACTGATAACTAATTTGTTCACAAAAACACGACATCAGAGCCCTCATGTGGTGGTAGTGACATTGATTTTAGACCGTTGGTCATATGCTTAATTGAATGATTTAAGATTTGCATGGTAATGAGGACTTCTGACTGCTCAAGATTACAGGAAAACAGTCTCTGTGATGGTATGAAATAAGTGTCTTGCATCATAAGCTCAGCTGTTTCATAACACAGAGTACTTAATTTCTGGAGGTTGTTTGGCATTTTTTCCAGCTACAGAACAATCACCAAGCACTAAGAAAGAAATACTGAAGTTTTACCTCCAGCCCACATAATTACCTGAACACCCTTGTCTTTTTTGTCACACTGCAGACCGAGGAGACAAAAAAGAAAAAGGGTTTTAGTTGCTCACAGTCCCTAATAACCCATGTTTAAAGCTCTCTTTATTTAATAGGTCTAACCTGCTTCATGACTTCTAAGAGCTTAAAAGTCAGATTTCCTTAAAAAAAAAAAAAAAACCAAAACACCCAACAAAACAAAACCAAAACTAAGGCTTTAATTTTGATTGCATCAACTAGAACAGCAGAGCACTCTCTGGTGCAGAGTCTCAGCTCTCAAGAACTGTCACTTTACTATTTGTTTGAATGTTACTGTTACAATTTACACCAGTAAAGAATGAGCACTCCAGCCTTTTCATTTCTGCCCTGCAGCTGTTTCAAGAAAGCAATTACTTTCTAAGCAACCTTTTCTGTAGCAACTCTCATGCAGTATGCCGGAGCCAGTGATCAAAGTATATAAAGATTAGGTGCAACCATAATGCTGACCAGGACTGGAGAAGGCAGGGAAAGAAAGTGAGGGCTGTGCAGTGGCACAATCTATCCCAAGTCAGATGTCCCCCACAAGGTGGAAGGAGGGATTACAGCCCCTTTCCTTCCTCCCTCCTCTGTAAATCCAGCCCTAGATACAGCACAGGCCAGGACATTTTTCTAAACCATCATCAGCTGCGTAACTTAATTCAACATGGAAAGTCATGTCTCCTGTAACACTTGTCAAAAAAAAGCCCTTGTAAAACCCTTCTCACAAATTAGGAGCTGGTAAGCACAGAAACAAAGGACAGTGAGAAAGTACACTCTCCTTGTTTTCTTACTCTTGTAACTGGTGTAGAATAGTGCTTTGTGCCAGCAAAACAACTAATAACACAGCGCAATGGAGCAATGAAAAACCAGAGCATTAGCTATAAAGATTATTGTTAGAATGTATACTTCATAGTTGCCTGCCGTGATGAGCTTAGCAAACTTCCGTGATCCTGCAACATTGCAGCGTTCGCCAATATTAACGAAGTTGGTGTACGGCCCAATCCTGAATGGCTCCAGACCTTAAAAAGACATTTTTGAACATATATGTAAAAACAGAAAAGAAAAAAACTGTAAAATAAAAACAAAAGCCCTTTTCTAAACTGTGAAATAGAGATGTCTCTCTCTTTAAGAATAGTGATTTCTCAGCACATCAGGATGTGCACAAATCTAATGAGTAACTAGCAAAGAAATGCAATGAAACAACTTCCAACACATATGCCAAAGGTTTCTATCCTTCCTCAATGACAGTCAATAATTTACCTGACCCACAAAAAATAACAGCCAATTTGTTCAATATAAAATGACATGAAGGTACAATTCTTTGGGCATCTATGTGTATGCACATACACACCTTCTCTCAACTTCCAACTATGTTATCTCATGACTCTACCACCACCAGAGAAGGAGCCCACTGAACTGACTGACAAACAAGGTCAGCTCTTAACCACATACCCACGTTCAGAGAAACGAGCCAAGTGGGACACTTGGGTAGCAGACAACTCAGAGGCAAACAAACCTTACAGCAGAACAGAGTAAGCTGCTGCATGAAACCACAGGCCAAACATGATTTATTTAACTTATGTTAAACTGATTTGACTTTGAGATTACAATACCAGCCCAAAAAGAAGGTACTATTTTACTTGGATACACATCCCAAAGGCTTAAAAGAAGGCCTAGCTGAGGAACATACAGATCTACGCTTTGCTAAACCAAAAGACATTCTAGACCTAGATGTATTGCTGGGACACTGTCCCAGTACAACTGGATCAACATCTGAGGCAACACAGGGCAGCTGTCTCACAGCAGCTGAACAAGGATCTCCTCCCAGCTCTGCCATCAACTGCAGTCAAATTACCCGATCTCTCTGTGCTCAACCCTTTCCTGTTGCAAAGTGAGGGTAAAGATACTCATTCACCATTAAAGAGTGCCTGAGACTTGCCGAGTAAAATATGCTGGCTTTCTTATACAAGATTGTAATAAAACGTTCCATTAATCTTTTGGCCAAAGCAGTAAGATTTAGATCTGGTTACACATCCATAAGCTTGCTGGATTCAGGTAGAACCAGAAACTCATAGTGCCATTCTGATCAGCAGAAAGCAGCAAATAAATTTATGAAGGAAGGCTGCATGAGTTATAAAGCTCAAACTGTGACACTCCATTTTACCTGACAGCAGCATGTATCCTTGAGAGAGAGAAGGTGGAACGCGAGGCTGACAGAATTTCACAGCTTCGGCAATTCTCCTGAGTTACAGAAAGAGGAAAGTAAAGAGTAAAGTTTTTGATTAAAATTAAACTACTCCAGACAAGACTCAAACAGACCATACTAGACATATACCTACATCTCCCATTTAGCCCTGTAGCGGACAAGACTAATTAGCTGTTTCGCTTTGTGTGGCCAAAGGCAAAAACATACTCCCGTAAGATCCTATTGTAGCTATTTGCAGGGAACGTACAAAGCTGAAGATTTATCAAATAAAGAATCTGAGATACTATGCCAATGGGATACTTCATGGATATCAGAACCAGTCCTCAACCACACTGACTCTTATCGTATTCACGATTTGCTGAGCTGAGGAATTGCTGATTGCAGCAACAAAACCAAGGGACAAACATTGTTCAGCGCTGAGACATTTTTCTCAGATGCCAGAATGACTCATGGTGCTCACGTTCCCTTTCTCTTTGCTCCAGTCAGAAGCGACACACTGTGTCCTCTACATGTTCACATACCACCTCCTCCCAGTTTGTAACAGGGTAAAAATGAATCACAAGGTCCACTTCTCTTTCAAGCCCACGTGAAAAAGGGAGGTTTTCCAACTGACTGACTTCCAGCGAGAAAGATACGAAACACTCCTTCTGACTGGCCAGGACTAGCCCCAGCTGTACAATGTTCCCAGATCTCCTGTGCAGACATTTCTCCCCCACACCCACACACTCGCCTTCCTTCTACCATCAAAGGAAACCTTAAGTTTCACCTTGTGGCGAAGAGGGCTAGGAAAGAGAAAGAATGTATGGCGTAAGGGAGCAGGGATGGGAAGTCTATTCTATCCAACGGTAAAGAGGGAGGAGTAATTCTGAAACTATTTATATGACAAAACAGCAGAAGTATAATCCTTGTTTGAACCACGCCTCCACTCATTCTTCACGATACACATGGCTAGGAAAGCCAGGTTATTTCTCCTCCATATATTGCTGCTATTGGTATTCAAGTGATCCATCTTTTTAGGACACTCTAAGACAAGCCATGGAATACTGCTCCACAAAAGCAGCACCTAAAGTTGTAGCTCATGAGGTACCTGATATGTGCTGGTGTAGTACCACAGCAACCTCCAACTATGTTGACCAAACCATCCAAAGCAAAATTCTGTAAAAGGGAAGGAAAGAGAATTTTGGTTTAAGTTAAATAAAGGTATATTTATATACATTTTTTTCTATATAGGTTAAGCAATTCAGGGGGATCACAAGGAAAAAAAAAAAACCCACACATTAAAAACTACCAGTACTATTTCTTCTCTTTAGGATTTGTTTTCAGATGTGGATTCCCAAAGCTAACCAGCAATTTCAACACTTAATTTTAGGAAACTGCATTTGAAACTGGCCTATTTTATACTGAAGCCCCAGATGAAAACTTGGATGAGTATCAAAGACTAGACATATTGTATTATAAAAGGGAATTAACATGCAGCAGGTACTGTGTTCTTGCTGACACACTGCAGCTCCAGCCACACAGTTCCATCTTGCACAGATCAAGTGGCACGTGGAAGGACACCCTGCACTGCAACACCACCAACATCAGGGGTTTCTATACACACAGCTCTGTAAAGTTCTGCCAATTCATAAAACCCACTCAGTTTTTTCAACTATTCCCAAATGTAAAAGTAAGAACACTGGAGTGCAAATGAGTAACATCCACAGATCAAGCTGCAGGAAAACTACTTGGTGTAGGACATGCAAGTAATTCAGGTTTTCAGTTTCCTAAGTAGTTTCTCGTAACCTTGCATCTCAAAAGCACTGTCATTCAGCAAATTGTCTATAAACAATCCAAATGACATAGAGCCATCTGAGGAAAAAAAACTCACACCACAGTACTGTAACAAATACACATAAAACACAAGCAAAGAATTCTTGTCTACTAGTATGTCAGATATGACACATTCACGAGAAGTATTTCATACCTTTATATGCTTGGCAGTCACTTCTGGAGTTTCATCATAACCACCAAAAGTATTGGGAAGACCTTGAAACAATTTTTCTAGTATCACAATTTGTTTGAAGCCCACAAGAACAGAATTAAATTCCATAAAAGACATATTTAAAGTAGCTACACTTGTATGAGGACTAAAACACCTCATCACCCTTGCAATCATTACTCAATGGATTATTAATCATGCAAGAGAGCATTCTGGGTTCACTGTCACAGAACTAACAACAGTTACTTTCAGCATTGTAAAATATGCTTATTTTCTTTTTAATAGTAAAACTAATCATCTTTTCAAGCTAATTCAACTCTATTCTTGCTAACAAGATAGAATGGTTTAGTTATATTTCATCTGCCTGTAAGCATAGGAACATGTGCACCAACACACCTGCATTGGGGTAACAGATGATGTAGGCTGTTGTACATTTTCCAATTGTTTCAATGAATGGTCGCATTTCAACTGCCCCTAAAGCACAATTTAAGCCGATACTGGAAAATAAATTTTCAAAAATTATTTTGAGGTAAAAACACCTTTTACACACAAAAAAGGCACATGTTAGCGCTGGCAACTGCTAACTCCCACAATCATCTACAACAAAACCAACCTGATCTCCAATTTCTTTTAATCATCATCATCATCAATACAGCAAGACTGCAAAAGGAGAACCCTCGGGTGGAAGAAAAGCACAAGGGGCGGGGGGGACTGGACTGAATGGAACTGGGAACAGTAAATCAAGATTCCATTTCAAAATCCAGGAGGAAAGTGGCAGCGTTTTGACAGCAACTGCAGCAACACGATGGCTCTGTATTGTCTAGGTGAGAGAGAGAACAAGTGGAATGAGAATGACAGACTGGAAAGGAGCCTTGTGCTACAGGAAGAAGCATGAAAGAGGTTGAAAGAGTAAGACCTGCTTCAAGCTGCTAACTCATCATTTTCTTTTAAAGTTATACATAAATTATGTCAACCTTGGAAGAAACCAAGTGCCTCCCCCAAGATATCTCACGGCAACACTAAGCTCAGGCAACTGAATCTGCTGCATCTTAGTAACCTAGACAGCATTACAGCAGAAGTATTTTTGCATGAATAAGCTTCTCAGCCAATTTTACCAGTATATGAAGTACAATCATGTTTTCTTTCATTCAGTGACAGATACATAAATGTGACTTGCACTCAAAAGGTCTACACCAATATTAAAAATGGAAATTTCTCTTTCAGAAAGTATATAAAATATCTTTTTCATATGTTTCCTGATCTCTCTGCACCATTCTAGAAACAACCTTATGAGCACTGCAAAACTCAAAAGGTGCTGCTCTAAGATGAAAATATAAAAAAAGCTTTCTCCCTTCCTGGAATAACGGTCTCAGAGAGGATGCAAGCTAACCCACTGAAACAGGAATGGCTAATAGCCACATCTCCCAGCTAACTGAGCCACAGAGGCTGCCTCAGAGGTAGCTAAGTTAATCAAGCGCACATATGCCCACTTAGTTTCCCAGAGGTCAAAAGCAATGAAGCCCTGCACAGGACTGGGAGCACAAAATGGTTTTCGACTTTTCTCTTGTTTCCAAGGAGTAGGCAGGGGCTTGGTAACTACACAGGTAGTAGCCGTAAATGCTTGCAGCCCGATTCACTTGTTGGACAGAATCACAGATCCTTGAGATCCAAGGGGCTCACAGCAACATCCAATACCAGGGCCTTGAATATCACACAGTCACATACCCAGACCAAACAATACACAAACCACTTCTTCCAATAGCTTAGGCTTGGGTTTGGGGGGTTTTTTTTTGGGGGGGGGGCAGGGCGGGGCGCATGTATTTTTGTTTTTTTCAGACAGCCAGCTCTACCTTTGAAGTGCTTTTTCGCATGCATCTCATATGGGCCATTCTATTTAAACAGGAAAACTTTAAAAAGAACCGTTTTATTCTCATTTCCCTATGCAGTATTTAATTTAAATCCTTCATACAGATCTCCTGGATATGAATGCACAATTACAGCAATGAGGTTCTGGAATTTATTTCAAAGCGGGGGCTTATCCCTCAAGATTTTCAAAGCAAAGCAAGGTAAGAGCTGTTAACAAAACTGGCTTTATCAAATGCAGATGAATGCAAGGTATTTACTACTGTTAAGTCATTCAATTTACAGGCTTCCAGCTCACACTCACCACCCCCTCTTTTTAAGCTCTCTCCTGTATTAGGCAGCCTCATGTCTCCCTTCCACATTTAATATCCATCTGTCTCTGGTTCTCAGTTCAAACTCACCTGTCACTCTCTTTACCTCACCTTACCAGAGAGATACTGTAAAAGCAGCCGACAAATACACCTATGAGCACGACACCATGCAAGCATTACCTGTTTCAAAACTGCCAAGTCAAACTAAGCACAGACAGGCACATTCATTCAGAAACAAAGAGCAGCTTCCATGGCCAGTATCATCTCCCCATGGCACTCAACAGCACCAAGAAAGAAAACATTTCAGAAAAAGCAAACCGTTAACCGCATCTTAAAAGCCAGCAGACTTGAACCTGATTGCTGGTATGCTCTCGCTGCTACCCTAGTGTGATAACCATCACACCCTCGTCTTAAACATCACCTCCCTCCCTTGCTCAATTCTTTACAGCAGTCACGCATCAGCTCCTGTGAAAACTAAGACTGCAGAGCGCCCTTGGGACCAGAACAAACACCACACGAGGGCCCTGAACTCAGCATACGTCTTCTTAATGCTACCACGGTAGAATCACAGGAGCCAAAATAACACGAAGGGAACTCATGCCACATCTGAGCACCTTCCATAGCAAGCAGCTTGCCACACATCTTTCAGCACTTACTAAGCACAGTTCACATGTTTCTCAACTATTGTCCATACCAACCAGCCACAAAGCACACACTTTTTAGGGGGGCTCCAAACCAAACTGACTTAAGGACAACGCGTCACCCAAAACAGGACATACATACAGAATGGATATAACTACTAATCAGCTTTTTCACAACCCTAAAGCCACTCTACCAATCTGGCAACAGAAACAGCATTAAGTGCAATCTGCTCCCACAACTAAAACCCTTCTGCGGTGTGTAGTAACCTTCGCATAAATGGGAAACAGGCTCTAAGCATTCAGACCCATAAGATAGCTTTTATGAAATATGGTTTAATAAATTCTTGATTTCTGCTCCAGTGCCCTTCTCTCCTCTTCAGAGGCAAGAGACTTATGAGCAAGATTATCTGAGACAGACTCGTGCCAAATATGGATCACTAGGCTGTGATGCTGAGAGAAGGAGTCAACTACCACCCTGTTCCAAGAGGCTCCATATGTTACTTCTGGAGCACCGTCTGGTCTGGGAAAGTGGAGCCTCGAGGGCAGTCAGGAAAGCTGTGAATGCAGTCTTCTGCTTTTGTATCACTGAGATGACAGATTGCGCATTTTAGCTGGAATTTTGTTGTAAAAACAAACAATGGCTCATCACAATGTGCGTGGCATGCACTGCTAACACTGAATTAAATGGTTTAAGTTAGAATATTCTAGGAAAAAAACATCTATTTCCAGTGTAAGTTTTTGTGTGAAGAACCAATCCGAGAGAAGAAATGGTAAAGAGGGAAGAGAAGGCAAGGAGGAGGTAGAATAGGGCATAGAAACACAGAAGAAGAGAGAAACAGGGAATGCTATTCAAATTAACAGGCAAAACCTTGCACAATGACTAAAGTCTGCTACATTTTGCATTTTCCCAGATCTTAATCTCATACTTATTTCAATTTTTCTGTCTGAACAGAAAAGAATGCAAGTAAATGGAGGCATCAGGAGCTCTCAAAACAACAATGCACATCCTTGAGAAAAACACTTAGGTAATATATACATTTTTATAAGAGTTCAGTAAAAAGAACACCGGAATGAAATCTTATGATTTGCTCTTTCAAGCCATTCTGAAACATTCTGAGCTGGCACTGCTTCTCTCTAGGAAAGAGATGTAAGCCCTGGCCATACCAGGAATTAGCTCCTTGCACAGTCTGAGACAGTAGGAGATGGCAAACTACAGTTTCAGAATTATTTTTTTTTTAATGCTTTGACCTAATTGCGATTTCAGTGGCTGTTGCAAACACAAAACTCCAGACTATTTAGAGCAATGTTTTAAAAATTCAGCATTCTTTGGAAACATAATTTCTGCTGAGGGAACGATAGCAGAACACATTAGCAATACATGTGATTAAACAGGATCACAGTTAGTATAGCTTCCATTTATCTGCAAGCAAGTAGTTAAAATAGAAAAGAATCACAATCTACAGATAACCTACTAAGAGAAAGATACATTTCCTTACCAAAGTGGCTTACTATGGGAAACACTAATGACAAATGCCTCTCCTGTCTGGCCTGAGAGGGTACGTCCACTTTTATCCACAATGGTTCCAGAAACCTAAATATCAATTCAACATAGAGAAAGGAAAAGAATTAAATTAACAATAAATCCAAGAATCCAAATGGCTCAACTGCTAAAAGTCAAAGTAGAGACCTGTGCTCCACTCAAAGCAATGAGGTACAACCCAAACAGAAAAATTAAACCATTTCCTCCCTATAAACATTTAAATATTTCAGCTAGGGGAAAGGCAAACATTTGACCAGTCTTCTTTCTCTCCCTCTCCCTGCCTTGGGGGGGAGAAAAAGAAAAGAAAGGGGGGAAAAAAAAGAAGAGAGAAAACTACCATGAACCATTCAGCAGCAAGGTAGTGTTAGTACCCCGATATCATTCTGACGACAGCCTCTGAAACAATCTGCAGTGGTTACCTGTTTAGGCAGCTATCAGCAGTCACAGCTCCTCTCCTGTCCTCCTCATCCTCCCTACCTCCCCCTTTATGTTATTGCAGGTCTCAGGACTGCTATTAGGTTGTTTGGTGGTGCTTGGTGGGGGGATGGGAGAGGCAGGGCTGGCCTTAAAAACAAGTTACTCCTTTTGCCACAAGGGAACATCAGATGTTGCAACTTCATAGTGGAGACAGAAGTCTTAACCTGTATAAGCATACCTCTTAAGTACTGTACAGAGAGAGATATGCAAATAATAAATAATGTCTTAACCCCAACTAACAACCACAAAGTTCAGAATTCAGGAGACGTTTGAATGAGACAGGAAAGCCTTCCCAAGCCTACAAATCGTTTTTCCAGAAGACGGAATATGTTTAGAAGACGGAATGAGTTTAGAAGACTCCATACAAAGGTAAATGCATAATTTACTCCAAAACATGCTTTAATATTGATACTACTGGAGGTCACCGGTGGAATCCTAGAAAGAGCTGTGCTAAGGGTTGTACTTCTCAACATAACTGAACTGGAAAGGGAGCAGAGAATGAGGCAATCGAGCTCACTGACAACTCTTCAGGAAAATGAAGACAAGAAGTCAACTCTACATAATCCGAGAACTCTCAATGCTAATTGACTTGAATGATAAAAAAGTGGAAACTTATTGCTGATAAAGTACAAAGCTGTGAACACGGGAAAAATTCTACATAATGACATCTCCAAACTAGTCTTTACTGCTCAAGAAATTAATCTGAGTAACAACAGAAAGTTTTATGAATGCAATTTCAAAGCTCACTAGCAGTGAAGTAAAACATCAGGAACTACAAAGAAAGAAATGGACAAGGCAGAGAACATCACTAGGCTGTCATACAAATCCCTGATGTCTGCACTTTGACTGCTGTATGCTATTCTAATTCCCCTCTGACTCAAGTAAGTGGAAAACAAAGAAGTGACAGGAATAATGAATGAATGGAGCAGCTAAATAGACAAGGACTCTTCAGGATGACAAAAGATGACTACAGGAGCCGCTCACAAAGGACTATAAATGCCATGACTATGCAGCAAAGGGAACGTGGAACTGCTGCTCACTGTCACTTTCAGAGACAAACTGCAAGACACAAAAGAAGTTATCAGGTGGAATGTCCAGAAGTAAGCAAGCTTTCAAACCAGTGCGTTCGTAAGCTGTGAAAGTTACTGACAGATTATTTTTGGGAATGCCTGGGTCCCACACAGGTTTAAACATAGGTTCAAGCAAGGAGTAAACACATTCGCAGCAAAAGGGTACAAACAGATACAAACTGCTGATCAGAAAGCCTGGCCTGCAAACTGCAGAAAACCAGAAGAATGCATCAGAACTTTCAAAACAAGCTTATTCTTTGTCTGTATTCGTTCCTACACATTCATGACTGCCTGCTGTCAGAAAAAGATGTCAGAGAAAGAACATGGAGTTAGACCTTCTCTGACTTCAAATGGCCACTCATGTTCTACTTGAAAATATGGCAGAACTTGCTTAATTTCATCTTTGAAGCACTGGTTCTTATGACCCTTAAGACAGCAAGCCTAAAAAAAATTATGATCAGACCTTTTCCTGTGGAAATACACAGAATGAATACATGCTGGAATGAAGTCATTCCTTACTCTTCAGGTTGATAAGCTGGACAGAGCTACCCACGGCTGATTTCATAAAGCTCTTCACATAAAAGTTTCTCCTTTCACAATCACATGAAAAAAGTACGTTTCCAAGACACTTCTTTCCTTCATTTCAAAACACTTTAATCAAGTGCAATCTCAGCTAGTTCACCAATCAAGCTTAAGTATATGTAAAACATTAAATAATATATACTTACAAATATGGGTCGGGGAGCATACTCTTCCTCAAACAACATCTGGAGCGCAAAAATAGCTGCCTATAGAAGAATAAGTTGCAAAATATTAATGGATGTTTCAAGAGTTCTTCAGTTTGTTGGGTTTTTTGTTTGTGTAGGTTTGTTGGGTTTTTTTTTTTCTTTTTTAAATATTTTTTATGGCTGTTTATGCAACTTGCTACCTCATATTGCCTGCGAGAACCTACTACACTCAAGAGATTTTACCCTTACCCCTAACATCTTCCAGACGTTCCAAAACACATTTTGGTAACGAGTAGAAAGGAAGTACCATGGGGTAACCAAATAAGACCAAGACTATTCTGAAACCCAAATCACATCGGCATGTGCTTCTCCCTCATGTCTGCAGCACAACCCCCACCCCAAACATGGTTGTATGTAGTATTCTCAGTACACATTCACTGCCCTTGAATCTGTTTAGACATGCAGTTTGCAAAGGATTCTAATCACCACAAATTTCAACAGTAAGGACTGCAGTGACCCCTTGGAAGGTCCTGAAAATTTCCTGCCTCCTTAGGGTAAGAAAGTTGCATGTGAACATGAGCTCAGCACAATGTTAAGCCTACAGGATCCTAGCCAAACCTCCATGATGACTGGTCAAATCTGCAAAGGACAAGTCATGCACACGTTAATCAGCCTGTGGCAAAAGCATAAGAAATGCTTATCCATTGTGCATATCCAGCCAGACTTTTTCACATAAAATTGCAAGAGAGTTCTAAGCGCCCTAACAACGCTATCACCTGCATTGAGCAGTTATTACACAAAGAAGGAGGTGTCAAAGTCATATGAATTGTGGCATATTTCAACATTTTATTCCTCCTATTTTACCCTTCCAATCCTCTGCTCCCAATTTTTCTTTTTTAAAGCTGATGGCAGAGTGTCAGAGTTCCCAAAAACCCCACATTTTAACAGGACTGTCTCACAAGCCCTCCCACACCTGCAGTCAGATACACTGGATATTCCCTCTCCCGTGTGCATCACAAGCATCCTTTGGACAGACATGCTTATGCTGAAAAATAAAGACATCAGATGCATTTGGAGATGTTTTGCAATGTAACAGAGCTTCTGGGAATAAAAGGACAGCTGGCACAGACAGCCAGAAAGATGCTAATGGCACATACTAAAAGGCAAAGTAAAAACTCTGGAAAAGGCTGTTTTATCATTAAAAACCATCTCCTTACATTCTACCTGTTTGCTGTTGACTGACAAGTCTTCTCATATTTAGTAAGCAGCATCTGATAGCTCTTAAAAGTACCATGTTGAATTTCCTTAGGTAGTGCACCAAATACTTATATTAGCGAGTATTTTTTTCCAGGAGTCTCACCTTGGCATTGGCTGTATCAAATATGGTTTCCACTAATAAGATATCAACTCCTCCATCCAAAAGTCCTTTGGCTTGTTCCTTATAGGCTTCAACCAGTTCATCAAAAGCTGTAAAACAAGAATGATGTAATTTCATCTGGAGGTATCTCTTTCAGGACCATCACCTAAGTTAAATAACTTGATGGTTATAAATACTTACTTATGTTCCTGTAATCTGGTCTCTCCACAGACGGTGACACAGAGAGCGTCCTGTTTGTTGGACCCATGGCTCCAGCAACATATCTCCTAATGCCTAAACCAAGACACGGGGCGGGGGGAAAGAAGAAAACCAACCAATAAAAAACCCAAATGAAAAACCCACAAAACAATTTACCTCCGTTTTACAATGACAGCCATGCCAATGTAAAAAAACCTCCTAGGACACCAAGACATGCATATCCTTCAGGGATGAAGAACTATAAAACAGGAAACTCCTGTCTCAAATCAAGAGTTTGATCAGCACAAGATTACCCAGCACAATTGACTTTTTTGTTTTAATCCTATCTGGTTCAGTGTATACACACGAGACAGAAGAACATCTATAAAAAAGGCAATTGGCTCAATTAGTTTTTCTTCTAAGCATCGTCCCTGCCCATTGCAGGGGGGACGGACTAGATGACCTTTAAAGGTCCCTTCCATCCCAAAGCACTCCATGATTCTATGATTTGTCTCTGACACAGGAAGCTTCATTCAATTACTTTAAAAGCACAGCATAGACCTGTCCTGGCATTTTTCACTAGATAACCTAATTTGAATATTCTGGCATGTGTTCATAAAAAAACTCCACATTCTTTTGTAGCATATTTCAAATCTTACATTTTTATTGCATACCAGGAATCACATCAGTAAGGTGTTATTTGGACAGCAGCAGCAGCACTGTTAGCTTGAAACACAGTTTGATGCCAGAATACAAGAGGAAATAACTTGTCGTTGAAAGACAGCATTGTCTACAGCAGTGGAAATGAGCTATAACCCTCTCACGTAATGCCCTGAAGGTAAAAGACTGCACATTTACAGATGATGGTCACATACTAAGCACATTCCAGTAGTTGCTCAGTAAAGTCAAACCAGGAGATTCACACTAGGAGTAACTGGTAATCCACATTTACCTACAATAAGCTATCCTAATTCTGTAGTACAAAGACTTGTGCTGTACAAACCTAAGTAACTTATAACAGTCCCTGCTGAATTTGTTTTCTCCAAAACACACCTGGAAGATATGTATTGCCTGCAGTCTAAAGCAGGCAGGCACAGGCCAGCCATCCTGCAGAACACACTGAGGACCAGATCCTGGACACATGCTGAAATGAGCGTGATGTGAATAGAGATGCAAAATTGCTACTGTGCCTAAAATGAAGAGTGTGCATGTCTGCAACTTATGTCCCTGTGATGTAAGCCATCAAGCTATCCTCTAGTTAGCAACATTTCAAAGACTGTAGCAAGACAGTCAAAACAACAAATGACTAAGAGATTAAAATAAATATCATGTACCTGTCTGAGCAGTTACATCATCTGCTGCTTTTCTGGCCACCTGTGCAGACACTTTGTTTAACCGATATGCCTGGAACAATTACAGAAAATTACCAAGTAACCTTTAGTACCGCATAACTCCTCCTCAAAGAAACACACTTCCATTCAGTGGCTTGCAGTAAACTCTGAAGGCTCCCTAAACCACACAAATACACATGAGCACTGTTACAAAACTTCAGAAGGAATGGCTCTATACATCTCAGCAACAGAGTTACATGGCAGGTCTCATCCCACGTATGCCCCAGCCTACAGCTGCTAATCATAAAATTTCATTCTGTAAGGTACTAATTAAATCCTACTGAAGTCAACAGAAGCTCGAGAACAGGACTTTGAGGACAAAATTAACCTACTTTTAAATTCACTTTTTATTCAAGTAGCATATTTCCAAGTATTTTCTTTCATATATTTCTCAAATTCTCAAAACAACACATGACACAGAAGAGCTATGACAAATGCAAGCTTGAAAGGACTTCTACATACACCAGCACAAACAACACACAAATAATATCAAGGAAAAAAGCGGTTCCATTGTGGCATTTGGTAAGTTGGTAGGACTGAAGCAAAGCATCCCCGTTCACAGAATTGAGACATTCTGGGAACGCTGAAACAAAATCTAGGACAAATTATTATTGCCTGTGCCTTCATGAACAAGGGACACACTATGACTGTCACACACAGCAAGTACAATTGTCTACAGCAGTGGAAGTGAGCTACAACACCATCACACAGCTCTAGAGACAGCATGCAGTCAATAAACACAATACCAATGGGCTCTGGGACTAAACTAATCTTGGCTGCTAAGACAAAAATCTTGATTAACATTTTAATGTTTAAATACTTTAGCATTCTTACCAAATGCTCAAGGCCATAGTCAGCTTGTGCAACTCGAGTACTGCTGAAAGTGTTCGTTTCAATGATGTCAGCACCTGACAGCAAGTATTCCTGCAAGACATGAAAGAATAAAAAAAAAAATCTCTAAGATCTCCAGAACTGAGATCTGGAATGAAAGCAACCCAACTATTTTGTCTCATTCAGTTGACAAAGAGTCAGAAATCATCTCCTAATTCAAAGTAGATCAAACTCTGAAGGCCTTACTCAAAGGCACAGGGCCAAAGCAACAGAAGTGTTCCACGTAACCAGTTTTCAGAGATTTAGTGTCAGCCACACTTGCTATTAACAGGTGACATTTAATTAGTCACCTCCACCATTGAGTCCAGCACCTGGAGCATATTCTAGATTTCTGCACAGGGACATGGTGGGACACAGTCCAATTGCCATCAGCAAGCGAGGGCTGCTGTGGGCAGACTCGGAAAAGACACCAGTTAAACAACAACAGAAGATTAGAAAATTTAAACATTCTGAAGGGAGCTGTACAGCGGAAGAGCATACTGGGACAGAATACAAGCTTAGGAGAATTATGTTTCATGCAGATCACATTGAAAGTTTAACTAATGTCCCAGATTCACAAAACAATTAAGCCTTCTGCTCCAGTTTGGTTGTCTAATTCCCACTGAAGTAAACTGCAATCAATGCAAGCTGAAATATTTTTGTAGAGTCTAGTCTGTGTTCTGATAACCTCTATCAGTTGCCCTCCTTCATCCCTAACGCCTCTTTTTGATCAGGTTAACCCTTGGGTGACCACTGCATATTCAAGGAAATCAAGACATTTCAAGTGCTAGTAAGTCAAAAATATTGGTGTGGCCATTAAACATAAACCACTCAGATTTTCCTCTAAGAAGTAGATAAGTTCAGTGGCTTCAAGAGGGCAAACAAAGTCTTGATCCAAACAACAGCAGAAAAGAATTAAATTTGCATCAAAACATATTTTGCTGCAACTAATATGCTTTCTCTCAACTCCTCCTGGATACATATGGAAATACCTACAAATAGCTACATGAAAATACACAAGTTCTCACATGTACGCTACTAACCAAGTACTGAAGTTTCTGAAAATCATCTAGACTAAACAAAGATGTTAAATGTGTAGAGCTTTATACTAGCTTTTGTTTAGTTCAGATCTGTCATTTTAGCAAAAGCCCTTCAACTTTACTGTCTACCACCATAGAAGGAAATAATATGCTCAAAGCAGGAAGGTCATTTTTGCCTTTGAAAACACATTCCCTCTCTTACCACTGAATCTTACTTTGCCAGACAAGGTACAGCTAACGTTTACTTTTCAAATTAATGATATTCGTGAGGTCTGACTCACTGGGCCATTAAAAAAAAAAACCCAACCACCATACATATAGTGGGATTATAGTCACTTTGTAGAAATAAATACTTTCATCTATTATTTCAAGTTCTGTCCAATTCTCAGAAGAAATAGCCATTGGCAGCTATGAAATATGAAGTCACTACCCATGGCTCAGAAAGCACCTGACCCAAAGGTTGCTGCAGGTATGGGGACCACCACAGACTTGTTCTTTTCTTACACTCTTCCTTAAGCACCTACAACTGGTCATTGAGAGGATGATAGCAGGCTGCCGTTGGTTTGACTCAACGCATTCATTCTCAAGTCACATCACTATTGCTCTGCTAAACCTGCAAAATTCAACTGTTAAACCAGCTTACCTAATTAAAACTACAAGCTATTATAAATTCCAAGGTTCACAACCACTACAGCTGAATTGACAGTCTAAGGACTGAACTCAATCTACAAATATTTCCTCCTGAAATGTTTATATGTCAAAGACTCCGATTCCCTTCAACTTGTCATTCTTAAAATCCAAAGAATGACATTTAGAAAGTAAATATAAAAATACAGATTACATACCATGTTTAACAATTGTAAGCCAATTATGATTCTAATCAATTAAATACAGATGTTTTTAATAAATAATTAAAAAAAACAGATGTGAGGCTTCAACTGAATATCAGCTAGTTGCAATGCTATTCAAACATTCCAGTTATTACAGTAAGACCTACAAATACCTGCAACTCAGGAAATACAAGACTTAGGAAGTTGTTTTATAAAGTCTAATTGAAGATAAGAAAATAATAAAATCTGTTTGCAAATTCCTAAGAATCAACCCTAGACTGTTTTATTCTCTGGGCCACACATTAATATTCTAGAGAAAAAACAAGAATATGGAAGCACATACACTCATTAGGAAGCCCATATACTCATTAACTATGGAGAAGTCTGCTTCAGGCTGCAACATTTAACAGCTCTTTAGTATAGAATTATAGAAACATGCATCTAGACTTCAGTTGTGTCCTACTTAGATGTATTTCAAGTGCTGGTTGGGGAGGAGAAAAGGAAAGAAAAATGATATAAATCAGAATCTACAATTAGCAGAAATGCATCAGGGACATAAGTCAAAAAGGGATTTAAAAACAACACTGCCTGTGTGACATCAGGAACCAAGACACAAATGCTGTGCTCACACAACCAGAACAGTGAAATCTGCTCATTCTTTTTCGCATGGTTACCTAGCACTCTCTTCCCTATCCCCAGAAGACACAGGAGAGCCAGTAGCCTGTGGCATGGAAAAGGGGAGCACAGAGGCCAACTTCTGCTTCCTTCTCTTGTCAAGAGAAAGAAATCAGAACCACGTACCTTGTGTATGTCACAGATTATATCAGGTTGAGTTATACTGAGAAGGTCATTATTGCCTTTCAAAGGCCTGGAATGATCTTTAAATTCATGCCCTCGGAAATCCTCTTCTGACAGAGCACGTTGCTGGATCATGGTACCCATGCCTCCATCCAAAACCATTATCCGCTCCTGCAAAACTGATTCAATTTCATCTTCCATGCTTTTCTGGGGATCTGCTGCAAGAAAATAAATCCAATATTTAAGCAGCTTTGAAATTCCCTAGCTACACGCTTGTGCAACCTGAGCTCTTCCCATTTAAGAAACAGACTAAAATAACTAATCCTCTACTGAAATCAAACAGTAATTGGTTTCCTTCACCTACAGCTCCAATCACATGATGTCAGGTAACAGCTGTATCTATCTAAATAGAATTAGACTCAATTGGTCCTTCACCTAAGTACGGCCACCTGCATACAGTCAGCTGCAGAAACAAGAGTATCAAAAGTTCACAAGGGCATACATCAAACTCTCTATATAAACTAGTCTCCAACACTGAAAAGTGTGATTGTTTCCTCTACAGCAACCTTTGAAGAGCAATGCAGAGCTGCCTTTTAGTACCAGACACCGTACTGTAAGTGGTACACAAGTGCAAACCAGAAACCAGTAAACTTAATTTTAAAAAAAAAAAATTCTACTTTAATCGCCTATACCGTAATAACAGAGAAAGAAAGAAACTGAGCAAGCAAAAACAGCTCTTCAGCTGAGTCCCAAATTCACCTCTTTCTAGGATTAGAATAGTAAATAACAATTTTGCACTTCTCTTGGTGAGCAAACACCAAGATACACCGACAGATAAGAGCCACGTTTTATTTTCTTTTGCACAAACACAAGATCTTCTCCTGCTGCGCAACAAAGCCAGAAGAAAACAAATCAGGCAAATCACATGCTAATTATAAGATATTGGACACGGTAAGTCTAACAATGACTGAAACAGAAAACTGTAGAAATTTCAGAGCTATCATTAGGAAGGAAGATGCAGTATTGTAATGCTGTAAGATCCCAAACAAAGCCCATCCCAAACATTAAACAAAAAGCCAAAACTATAATCTGAGACTTTAAAAAAATAAACAAACAAAACGCACCATAAAACCCCCCAAGCCCCAACAAAAGTAATCCTACTTTTCCTCTTTAGAAGATACACAGAATCATTTCAGAACCAAGACATGCATATAGCAAAATAATCAAACAGCCTCTACCAAAAACCCAACTTACAAGAGTGGGACCCCACTTATCTCTCACAACCATGTAGCTGAATGATGTGTTATTCTTCATTCTCTCTCCTTCATTCAGCTTGGACTTACTACTCACTTTGAGTAAACACCTGTTCTGCATTTTAGTTATGCACTATCGTCAAAGCACCTGTAAAAAAGATGATTTCTGAAGCACAAAAACATCCTTACGTCTCATTACAACTTACACATAGTAGTACTTAAAAATCACTGGCAGCTAACTGATTTGCCTTTTTTTTCCTTCCGCATTCTTGCAATGCAACTTCTGTTTAGACATCAGTACTGTTAAAAAAGAATATGCTGGAGAGAAGATGAGGCCAAGAGTGAAGTATTACAAGGTTACATTTACACCAACACACTGGAAAAACAGCTCTAAATCAGATGTAGTCCCAGCAAGAAGAGAAGTCAAATAAAACTTGTTCTATAACAAGGATGAAGCATTTGAGGGAAGATTAAAATACAAAAAATAAAGCCACCCTCATTTCAAGTTGAAAGTTTTAACACCACACAGGCAGGCTCAGCAGGTTCTTACACAAGAGCTTAAACCTACTCACGTTAAACCATCAAATTATTCATGAAAATAAAATCAGTCCTTGAGCTAAAGGCTTTCAGAGGCAAGACACAAAAAATTGTATCTGAAAGTAGGACTGCAATGTAGACTCCCATGAGCATAACTCATGTGCTTTACAAGAGCTACAATCCAATTGGACAAACGCATTAGAGCTTGCTTTTGCTTTAATGCAGCCTCTAAGTCAACTCCTTGACGCCGAGAGCACTGTAACCCAGACAGCTGAGCCGGGCCGTTGGAGCCCTCCCTTCTTTTCTATAGGCTTCTGTCCCTTTTACCTACGTGCTTCCCAACTATCTTCTCATACATGCTGGGAAGCAAACAAAGATTTACAGTCGTCTGCTTGGTTTTAAATCCTGCACCTCATGTGGTCTGTTTTGCTTTCTCTACAGCTTGCCTCGCTGAACAGATGCCACTTCAGTGCATCGTTTTCTGCTCACAGGAGCACAGATTTCTGCTTCATCTCTGCTCCCAGCTCTGTGGAGAGCCTTATTCCAAAGAAGCTTTCAAAATCTGTGGTTCTTCAGCAGCATCTCAAAAAGCTGCAGGAAATACCGTGGGAATCACGAAGGTGGCTGTCAGTGCCAGAGGTACACAGACTCTGTGTTTTACAAATGGATGGCATAGCTCCAAGCCTACCAAAACCCAATTTACCTGTCCTTGCTATGGATAACACTTGACTCTTCTTCCATTAGGAGCCTGCACTACTTGAAGCCGTGCTCTGGCACACTGACGATGCAATTTTCAAGTTGGAAACAAAGTCTGCAGACAGGTCCAAAAAGACCCCAGAAATCACAGAGGATCAATTCATAAAGGCATGCTAGAAAGTGCTGAACTCTGCCATGGGGAGAAAAGCAGGGAAGAGGCTGGGAGTCAAGTCTGCTAAACAAGTACCATCATCTTACTTTAGCATTCAACTCACATAACTCCCCTCCCCAGCACAGACCGGGCACATGAGTTTGCTATAGAATAAATGAAAAAATGTTTGGAGAAATTCTGAAGCAGGAAAAAAATCAGAGGTCAGCTTTTCTTTTCTTTTTTTTTTTTTTTTAATATTTACAAACCCTGCTCCTACCTCTGCTCAGCCAGAAGTTGATGACAAATTTATTTTATAAAGATCACTGGTGAGCTTTGGGAAACAGATTCCCTGTTCCATTCAGAAGTGTCCAGGAGAAAAACTGCCTCTATAGCTAGAAATAGTAGCAAACCAGCAGTGGTAACAGGACCTAGGACCAATTACCTTGATTTTACATTCTACTGAAATTTAAAATAGAAAGCACATTACCACAGAGTGGTCTAGGGCTGAAACTAGTTTAGCAGACCATACCAAGACAGAACAAAAGTGACCCAACAGCACTGGCTTAAAAGCCAAAGGAATACAGAATGCAGAATAAAAAAATCCTCATATCCTACTTCACTTCCCCAAGGTAAACACTCTGGCTTGAGATCACTTGAACAAGGGAATTACTAGTCTGGAAAGGAGAAATGAAATCAGCTACAACAACTGTTACCCCTTGCAGATGTTTCCAAGTAAGTCTGCATAGCACACAAGGTGTCCCTCTGGTACAGCTGTTCACCCCTACAGTCATTCTACCACTAACAATTATAAACTTTGCCCAACTGTAACCTAACATTTTCACAATGCAGCAACTAAACAGCTCAGCGGATAAGGCAAGATGATACTTCTTCATCTCCTTATCCGAACCCAACCCACATACAGGGCATATATGCAGAACTGAAGGGATAAACACATGTTCTCCACAAGAAACAGGACTTCAAAGCTTGCAATTTGCTTAAAAACACATTTTTCTGATGCCTGCAATGATTCTCAAAAGGTGTTTTTTTTATTATTTATGCACTTCTATTAAAAATTTATTCTTAGTATAAAATAGTCTGACATACAAGTACTCGGAAAGGAATAAAGGATTACAAGTTGCTTCCAAAGCTTTTAATAAAGGATCAACCCGGCTGTAGCAGTATTACAGTATTTTCATCACGTTAATGTGAAAGAACAGAAATTGAAGAACTACAAGGAGCTATAGGCACTTACAGTAGCCCCTATTTCCTAGGCTGACCAGGTCCTGTCCTAACAGGCAACAGGGCCACTCCACATTTGCGCATCCTAATTCAGAAAACCAGCATTGCCCCACACCAGCTCCAAGGCCAAGTTTCTCCATCATTCAAAAAATTATTGTGCAGCACACAGAAATTACAACAATAGTAGCTAGAAAGAATGCTCCTGCTATCAGCTTGCCACAGACATCTCGTGACAACCTTAACATTACTTGCTGTTTAATTAATTAAATCTTCAACTGGATCTCCTCTGGCAACATTAACAGTTTCATGAACTGTACCAACAGATGGCAGATGGGTCCTCTACAACAGTGGGCAACAGCACCCTATTGCTCAGTTATTTGTTACCCTGCCTATCAAAAGAGAGAAGCACTGGATCTTACCACTTCACCTTGTGTACCTGTGTGCACCTTGCTGACATCTTCCATTTTGGCACTTGTCTTACAAACCATTCAGGTCTTCCGTAATAGACAGACAGACGCTTGTGTAGCTGATGCATTTACAAAGCTAGCTTGAAAGGCAAACGACAACCACAAAAGTCACTGAAGTCCCGGAATAACAGAGGAGGCCTGTTAGTTGTGTCCACTGTCTCTAGCTAAACACAAGAATCCCAGGCTGAGAAAGCGTCCAGCGTTATAACCACAACTGTCCATCTCCCAACATTAAACTGTTCACAACAGATTATTAGATATTCATTACAGGCAGGAACCATGGGGAAACAAACCAGCCTCCAGACCAGCACGGTCTCGCTTTGTGCCATACCCTGCCGCTGAAAGGCTAGGGAGGAGCACTTCGCTCTGCTTCCTGATGGCCTGCCCCTGAACGCAGGTCCTTCGCACCACCGCCAGATGTACACACCATCATCTCCTGCTCGCTGGGGCTCCACGAACGCCCTTGGCAGGCAATTTTTGCTCTCATCTGAGGAGAACTTTTCTCCAACTGCCACCACTTCTCAAGCTGCTGCTGAAACACCCTCCCACGTCTCCCATTTCAGCCAAACCCATTCAGTTCTGCAGCAGCAGGACAGTCGCTAGCCACGGCTTGACCTCAGACATCCCAGGAGAAAGGGCAGGGCAGGGCAGTGTCATCTTTGCCAGAGGAACCTGGAAAAACCTTAGACCGTAGAATCCGATTACAGAGTCGGTGCTGCACACAGCTCTGCAGCGAGGAGGACTGCAGGCCTGTTTAACAAGCTGAGGGACGTAAGCCCGGGCTGAAGTATGGGCTCAGCAGCAGGTATTCCCTCAGAAATATTAAAAAGGAAAGTGCCTGGGATCTCTGCAGGTAGC